ATTTTAGGTCTTTGAGAAATCGTCACACTGTCTTCTGCAATGGTTGAACTAATTTATACTTCTACCAACTGTGTGTAAGTTTCCTTTTTCTCCACAACTTCACCAGCATCTGTTATTTTTGATTTTTTAATAATGGCCATTCTGACTGGTGTGAGATGGTATCTCTCTGTGGTTTTGATTTGTATTTCTCTAATAATCAGTTATGTTGAGCTTTTTTTTCATATAAGTGTTGACCGCATGATATTCTTTTTTGAGAAGTGTCTGTTCATGTCCTTTTCCCACTTTTTAACAGGGTTGTTTGTTTTAGTCTTGTAAATTTGTTTAAGTTCCTTATCGATGCTGAATATTATTCCTTTGTTAGATGCATAGTTTGCAAAAATTTTCTCCCATTCTGTAGGTTGTCTGCTTACTCTGCTGATAGTTTCTTTTGCTGTCCAGAAATTCTTTAGTTTAAGTACATCTCATTTGTCAATTTTTGCTTTCGTTGTAATTGCTTTTGGTGTCTTTGTAATTAAATCTTTGCCCATGCCTGTGTTCAGAATGATATTGCCTAGGTTATCTTCCAGGGTTTTTGTAGTTTTGGGTTTTACATTTAAGTCTTTAATCCATCTTGAGTTGATTTTTGTATACGGTGTAAGAGAGGGATCTAGTTTCAATCTTTAGGAAGTCCTAAAGATTAAATAGGAAGTCCTTTCCCCTTTGCTTGTTTTTGTCAGCTTTGTCAAAGATCAGATAGTTTTAGGTGTGTGACCTTATTTCTGGAGTTTCTATTCTGTTCCATTTGTCTATGTGTCTGTTTTTGTACCACTACCATGCTGTTTTGGTTACTGTAGTCTTATAGTATAGTTTGAAGTTGTGTAGCATGCTGCCTCCAGCTTTGTTCTTTTTGCTTAAGATTGCTTTGGCTATTCAGGCTCTTTTTTGGTAACGTATGAATTTAAAAATTTTTTTTCTAGTTCTGTGAAGAATGTCATTGGTAGTTTAATAGGAATAGCATTGAATTTATAAATTGCTTTGGGCAGTATGACCGTTTTAAGGATATATTCTTCCTATTCATGAGCATGGAATGTTTTTCCATTTGTTTGTGTCATCTCTGATTTCTTTGAGTAGTGTTTTGTAGCCCTCCTTGTAGAGATCTTTCACTTCTCTGGTTAGCTGGTATTTCTAAGTATTTTATTTGTGTGCATGTGTGGCAATCATGAGTGGGATTGCATTCCTGATTCTGCTCTCAGTTTGACTGTTATTGGTATATAGGCGTGCTAGTGATTTTTGCACATTGATTTTGTATCCTGAGACTTTGCTGTAGTTGTTTTATTAGCTTAAGGAGCTTCTGGGCTGAGACCATGGGGTTTTCTAGTTATAGGATCATGTCATCTGTAAACAGGGATAGTTTGACTTCCTCTTTTCCTATTTTGATGCCCTTTATTTCTTTCTCTTGCCTGTTTGCTCTGGTCAGGACTTCCAATACTATGTTGAATAGGAGTGGTGAGAGAGGGCGTCTTGGTCTCGTTCCAGTTTTCGAAGGGAATGCTTCCAGCTTTTGCCCTCGGTATGATGTTGGCTGTAGGTTAGTCATAGATGGCTCTTATTATTTTGAGGTATATTCCTTCAATGCCTAGTTTATTGAGAGTTTTTAACATGAAGGGGTGTGGAATTTTACTAAAAGCCTTTTCTGCATCTATTGAGATAATTACATAGTTTTTGTCTTTAGTTCTGTTTATGTGATGAATCACGTGTTTTGATTTGTGTATGCTGAACCAATCTTGCATCCCAGGTATAAAGCCTACTTGATTTTGTTGGATAAGGTTTTTGATGTGCTGCTAGATCCAGTTTTCCAATATTTTGCTGAGGAGTTTTACATCTACGTTCATCAAGAATATTGGCCTGAAGTTTTTTTGTTATTGTGCTTCTGCTAGGTTTTAGTAGCGGGATGATGCTGGACTACAGAATAAGTTAGGGGAGGATTCTCTCTTCCTCATTGTTTTAAAAAAATACCTTCAGTAGGAATGGTACCAGCTGTTCTTTGTACATCTGGTAGAACTCAGTTGTGAATCCATCTGGTCCTGGGCTTTTCTTGGTTGGTAGGCTATTTATAACTGATTGAATTTCGGAGCTTGTTATTGGTCTGGTCAGGGATTTAAATTCTTCCTGGTCCAGTCTTGGGAGTCCAGGAATTTATCTATTTCTTCTAGATTTTCTAGATTATATGCATAGAGATGTTCATAACATTCTCTGATGTTTGTTTGTGTTTCGGTGGAGTCTGTGGTAATATCCTTCTTGTTTTGGATTGTGTTTATTTGGATTTTCTCGCTTTTATTCTTTATTAGTCTAGCTAGCATTCTAGCTATTTTATTGATGTTTTCAACCAGCTCCTGGATTCATTGATCTTTTGAATGGTTTCCTGTGTCTCAGTTTCCCTCAGTTCAGCTCTGATTTTGGTTATTTCTTGTCTTCTTTCCATTTTATTACTCTGTAATCCCCAAGCTGTTGTTCTCATCTG